GCATGGTGGTGGGTACATGGTGCTGGTGGTGACATGGTGGTGGTGGCGGTGGGCACATGGTGGTGGTGGTGGGCACATGGTAGTCATGGTGGGGGGTACATGGTGGTGGGTACATGGTGGTGGTGGGTACATGGTGATGGACACATGGTTGTGGGCATGTACTGGCACTTCATAACAAAGGGCTGCTTATTCACCTTCTTTCTTATTATTTCTCCCTTCTCTCTTCATTAGGGTTTTAAATGAGGCCGTGAGTAACGAGGAGGTCAACGTGAGCTGCAAAGCTGCTCCGAGGAGCAGCTGCGCTCGGGGCCTCCTCTCCGCGCAGAGCGGGCGGCCGCGGTTCTGCTCTGCGCTGCCCTTCTCCTTCTACTTTTTCCTTAGTTTTAATTTCTCTGCGCTCCTGCGGCCATGGGCAGGTGTCTAGAGAGGAACGGGAATAACGAAGCTGATCTGGACACGGCCCCGCGTCACGCGGGAGCATCGGGATGGGAGACCCCGCGGGATCCCTGTCCCCCGAGCGGGTCGTGCCGGCACAGAGCGAGCAGGCGGCGGGAGGCTTTGAACCGTACGTTTATTATTCCACATGGAAAGGCATTCAAAGGATTACACGGAGGCCTGACAACATCGCCACGTACATCGGCTAGAACACGGATCACAGAAAGCAGCTCCGGGCCCAGGGAGCGGCTCCGGCGGGAGCCTCTTCCCGCTGGCGCCGGGAGCAGCCCCGGCCTCGCCGTCCCCAACCTCCCCCCTCCCCAGTGACAAGTGCTACACGTTAAAAACATGGGCTACATATTAAATATAGGGCATTACCTTCAAGTAGGGCTGGTACCTTACACAAATAACCACATTATTTGGTATTCCTAGCTCGTTTTCTTTTTTTTTTTTTAATGTCCATCAGAAGAGTCCATTAAAAAAAAGCAATAAAACTTCCTCCTTCTTTACCTAGAGATCTCTGTTCTCGTCTCCTTAGCTGCTTGGTGCTGTTTTTACCCTGCACATACAAGTATTTATTAGAAGCATTATTAAGAATCGGATCCTTCAACACATTTAAGAATTATATTATTATAACAAATAAGACCAAAAATTAGATTTTATAGTTAAATATTCTGAGAGCCAGACAAAGGGGTTTCACTGTACAAGCGATTGTGCATTTCTTTCTTTTTTTTTTGTAAAAAAAAGCAAATTATAGTGCAAAGCAAAAATCGTTGGCCTGTCTCGTGACCACTTGCATACAACAGAGGTGCGGATACTTACACCTTCACATGACAATATGTCATAACAACATTGTTGCCATTGCTTTTTTCTTTTTTTTTTCTTTTTTTTTCTTTTTAAATTCACTCTGAACAGTCTTAAATTAACCTCGTCCCGTGAATGCCTTGGTTTTTCTTTGTGCTTTTGATCAGTGGTAGGAGAAACGTAAATGCACGGAAACGCAGGCTGCTCGAGCAGCCTCAGGCGAGGGCAGGTTGCAGTTTGCTGGGATAGGGTGGGTTTTTTTCCTTTTTTTCTGTAGTTTTTCGCCGTTTTTCTTGGCGGTTTCGCTCAGGAGGGGTCAGCGAAGCCTCCCGGCTGTTTTGTGATGCCCCTGGGGTGCCCCAGTGCGACCAGCTGCGATTTGGGTTTGGCGATGGGGCAGCAGCGTGTGCGAAATCCCTGCGGATGCAGGATGGAGCGCGGGGCTGGTCCCACGCACAGGGGCTTGGAGGTAAAATCCCGGCTGCCTCGGACCTTTCCCAAGCATCCGGGGCCAGGAAACCCGGAGCCAACCCTAACCCCATGTCAGGCACCGATGGCTCAACGTAAACCTGCCACTAAACCGGGCCTGGGACTCCCCTTCCTGGTGTCCTGCTGCGTGTTGTTGGGGTTGCAAATCCTTCGGGAGCTCATGGAAGTGCCCTGAGCACCAGGAGGCTCCGGGGGCTGCTTTGTGCTCAGGATGGGCCAGGACTTGTGGTGGCCGTTCCTCAGTTCATCACCTGCCCGTGCTCTAGTGCGCTCTGCGGGAAAAGAGGCCGGAAAAGAAGGGGATGGGGTGGAAAACACGGGCTAACATTGCGTCACTCTGTGCCCACCACCAAGGGGTCTGATTAGAGATTGCTCCAGTCTCCAGATCTCAGCGAGAGCTTTGGAAAGTCCTTTCTTAACGAAAAAAAAAAGCATCATGGGCGAAAACCTGGGAAGGGATCGTAACAGAAAGAGGAGGCTTCGCCACGAGCTGCATGTGCATCTCCCACGATCCGGGTCGTCCCGGCCGTCGCTCCGGCCACCACCGCGGAGCCGCGCGGAGAGGCCGGGACAAAGAGCAAAAGGAAACACCATGAACCACATCTCGTTAAAAAGTACATCTCGTTTGTAAACATAGAGCAGAGGGGGCGTCAGGCCCGGGATCAACCACGGTCCTGTCTGGAAAACAACAGCAGTGACAAGAAAAAAAAAAAATGAACAAGGCAACCTCTGGCATCGAGGACGAGCGGCAGCGACGGCGTCGCCGCTGCGGGGACGGGGCTGATGCCGACGGAGCCTCCCGGCCCCGCGGGCTGTAAACCAGACTCGTGTGCGGCCCCGAGCTCTTTGGTGGCCAGAGGCCCCAAAGTGGCCAGGAGGGAGGGAGAGGAGACAGAAATAGATGTTTTTCTTTTCTTTTTCTTTTTTTTTTTCCTTTTTTTTTGTTTTTTGCAGTTCAGTCTTCCTGCATTGGCTGATGGGCGGCTTGGCCGATTTCCTGCACTTTCCTCCTCTCTGGACACCTCAGGCTGTGCAGAAGGGCAATTTTTTTTTTTTAATCTTTTCACCGTTTTGTGTGGGGACGAGGGGGAGAGTGAGATGACTGAGAAGTGTTCTGTAATAAACAAATATCTGATTCCACACAGCTTTCTTTAAAAAAAATCTGTTCCCTAGCTACAACCCACATTTTTCAACCACATGGGAGGAACCACATCAAGCGACACATTCAAGCCTCGAGGACGTTCATCTTGAAATGTAACGCAGGGCCGGGGCCGTCTTCACTTGATGCTCGCCCATGCAAAGGATCCTGGTTGGCTTTCGGTTTGGGAAGACTTTGGTTTATCTGTTCCCTAGGCATCGTTTCGCTCTATTCACTGCCCAAAGGAGTAACGTACCGGTGGCTGTCGGATCAAGTTAAAGCTATCGGGGTTGAGTTCCTCCTAGTAAGGTCTCCAGACAGACTCATCCATCCTCCCAGTGGTCGTCATGGCGGTTGGCGAGTTACTGTGGCTCCCGTCCGCGTCCACCCCGTCACTTTGGTTGCCCAGGTTGGGATTCATCAAGTTGTTCCCCGCCGAGGCGCTCGTGCAGGACGAGAGCATCCGGGTGGGCGAGCGCTCGCCGCCGGCCACCATGGAGAACTGGTAGGAGCCCGCGGACGTGCCGGAGTAGCGGCGGTAGG